CCCGGGTTCACGCCATTCTCCTGCCTCAGTCTCCTGAGTAGCTGGGACTACAGGCGCCCGCCACCATGCCTGGCTAATTTTTTGTGTTTTTAGTAGAGACGGGGTTTCACTGTGTTAGCCAGGATGGTCTCGATCTCCTGGCCTTGTGGTCCACCCACCTTGGCCTCCCAAAAGTGCTGGGATTACAGACTTGAGCCACCGTGCGTGGCCTAACATGACTTTTATATGCACTGGGAAACCAAAAAATTTGTGCAACTTGCTTTATTGTGATGTTCACTTTATTGCGGTTGTCTGGAACGGAACCCACAAAATCCCCAGGATATGCCTATACACACGTTGTCAACCAGAGGAACAACCTGGTCCTTTTCTCTCCGAAAAGCACAGCTTAACCAACAGTAGGCTAGAAAGGCGGCAGGAGGGCTATGGGTTAAACTCAGGAAAAATCTTGGTGCCAGCCACGGGGAACACTAGGAATGACTGCTATGGTAAAATATGAACTCTCCGTAGGTAGGGCCCCACGCTACTGCTCACCAAGACAAAAAGGCCACAGGCAGCCCCAGAAAGCTCTCTGGAATGCTCCTGCACTTCCTAGGGAAGGAGAAGGTAGCTCTGAGCAGTAGCCATCAGCCTCAGGGATTTTTCAGCACCTCTAATTCTGACAAGCCTAGTGCTGTGTGCACTCTGCTTGGCTGACATCACAAGGATCACCCATTCCCCGGGGCTGGGTCATCAGATTCTATTGGGGCATATCAGGAGTCACATGAGATGGGAGAGGGAGTGAAAAACACCAACCCAAAGAACATGAAATAATTTCTAAACATTTTTATTTCAAATCTCTTTTCACCCCTCCCCAAAAAGACATGGGTAGGTACAGCAATCATAAAAAGGAGATACAAACACAAGAGTCAAATGTCTCTCGCACTGACACTTACAAAAAACTGGGAATTGTACATGGGGTTTCCAAACAGGACCTGCAGCAGCTACTAATGTCCCTTTACGAGAGTCAAACATGCCTATTAATACAGTATATACAGACACCCCATTCTGGAACTAATCTACAGGGACATCCCTAACCCCACCCCCTCTATCCCCAGAAAAATACCAAAACACACCCAAAGTGCATTTGTTTTGTTTATATCAAAACCTCTTTCCCTTTCCCCATCCCACCCTCAGACCCCCCACCCCATTTAAGATTGGCCTGCAAGTCTATTTTAACCATTTAGTATTTTTTTATAGTTTATGAAAATAAATTATACAGCAACTATTTTAATAAATTAAGCACAAAAGGAAGGGCAAAAGAGGAAAACTAAATGGGAAGACAAAAGCCAGGCCACGCTTTGGCTTGGAGGTCAGAGGGGGGCTAACGGGGACAGAAGTGGTTGCAGGGGGTGGCTCCCTTTCTGGTGAAAAATTGGCAACCACCCCGAGCCAAGAATGACACCCCTCTTCATCGAGTTTCTTAAAAACAACCAAAAACGTACAGCAGTGGCTACGCCACAGGCAGCACCAGTTTGGGCATTCCAACAGCCAGCTACCCAAAGTGGCACCTGGACCCTACCTGTCCCTTGGACAAGGTTCTGGGCCTAAGAGTGAGGGGCAGGTCCCCACCCAAGGGAGCACCAGAGATGGAGGAGTGAGACCAGGCTTCTGCTTCACCTGAGCTGGTTAGGGAGTTCAGGACGAAGCTCTGAGCGGGGCAGTGTGGTATGTGATGATCCCAGAGCCTGAGGAAGTGTCCTAAGTTCCTCACACTCGATCTCCAGGAGGAACTACGATCGCAGTCCAGCTGCAACCAAACATGCCCGTCTTCCCGCTGTGGCCAGCAGCTTTCTGTCTGCCCCTCCAGGCCTCTTGGCATTGAGGAGGAGCGGGTAGGAGAGGGAAAGGGAGCAGTTCCAGGTCCCCTCTAAACCCTCTAGAAATGAAATGGGAGTGAAGCAGGTCATGAACTAAGCATGCAGGGCTGGCTTCCCGGGAGGTAGATGGGAGTGGGACAGGATAGCAGGTGTGGAGAGGACAGGAAGGAAAACAGGAAGAAACTGAGCGACACCTACCAGGAAGGTCAAGAACCAATGAAAAGGACAAAGACAATATGAAATCTGCATGTAAAGAAAAGTCCTTTTCTGGCAGACTAGAGAATCATCATTTTCAGTACAACTCATTACGCTACTTTCCTAACTGCAGTACCCGAGTCCCCAGTGCCTGTCTCTATGATCCAACCCCCATTTCACTGCTCCCAAGACTTTGCTCTCCATTTTCTCAAGGCCTCCGATTGTTTTGTGCTGAGCGAGAAGGCTCCAATGTGAAAGCAGGGTCTACCACAGGGACGTGCAGACTTGACCTTTGTGGCCCAACCATTCTATAGCTATCATGGCGAAGGAGGGGGGCACACTTTTCTTCTTTTTTTTCTTTTTCTTTTTTTAATAAAAAAGGTTTTACTCCCCAGGAGCAAATAAATCATTTTCAACTACTGATAAACACTGCTGCAGTGAAAAGAAAGATGGCTACATGTATGCAATAGCACAAATTCAGTGGAAGAACAGCTGTGTTGACGATTAGAGATAAAAATCACTTCTCCATTCCCTCCTTTCCCATAAACCAAACCCAGGATTCCCATAGGGAAAATGTCTAACTCAATAGCTCCTCCCTTACATGACAGGGGGCGTGTCATTCTCTTAAAAGTGGAAACAAATGCCAGGTCTCCGCCCAGTGGAGATGCTCTTAACACCCCAACTGGTAGCAAGACTTCTGCAAATGACACACACACACACACACACACACACACATACGCATACGCATATGCACACACACAGACTCAGACGTTCCAGCAGCTGCAGAGCTTTATCCCAGTGTCTTGTCCACTAACTTTAGGGCTCCAAAGCTAAGGGAGAGAGGCAGCAGGGAAGGGAAAGCTCTAACTGAAGGAAAAAGCTCCTCCTCTCCCCACTTTCTGCAGGGAGCAGAGGGCTTCAAGCATGCCATGCTTTCCTGGGAGCCCCGGGGTGAGGGCTGACAAGGCTGGATTCCAGGGCACTTCTGGTTCTACTCCCACCTCTCACCTCTAGGCCTGAGAACTAGAATTACCCCCACTCCCCAATTCTTCCTGGATGTCTGTTACAGGGGTGTCTGCAGCTATCTCCACACCATCCCCAACCTCAAGGGGGGCTTACATGATTAGCCCAAGTGAAATGTAGGGAAGTGGAAGGAGCAGGAGCCATGCGGGAGCTTCCCTTGGTCACACCTTTCTCCTCAGGGAGGCGGTGCCACCTCCACGGCTCAGGTTCCAGGATGTAACATTCACTTTACCTAGGTAAAGTAAAAGGTGACCAGGCCAAGGTCAGCACCAATGGTTCCAAAGAGCCAGCTGCCACCCACTTATCTAGTGCCCACACCAAAACCCCCACCCGCCTACTCCTATGCTCCTAACATAGCACACAAATTTCAAGTAACAGCAAGTTGTAGCAGTAGTTGTCACTGGCTCACACTGGCTCTCAACCTGAGGAAGGTTACAGTAGATCAGTCATAAACAGGTGAGGGTTATACAGGCACTGAAGCCACTAGTCTCACCCACCCACAACTTAGAAATCAATAGTGGGTCTCTAGATGTAAGCCTTTTCCAATTTGTGACTTGAAAATACAACCAGAAAGGAAATTTTTTTTTTTTTGAGATGGAGTCTTGCTCTGTCGCCCAGGCTGGAGGGTAGTGGAGTGATCTCAGCTCTCTGCAACATCCGCCTCCTGGGTTCAAATGATTCTCTTGTCTCAGGCTCCTGAGTAGCTGGGACTACAAGTACAGGCCACCATGCCCAGCTTATTTTTGTATGTCAGTAGAGATGGGGTTTCACTATTTGGCCAAGCTGGTCTTGAACTCCCAACCTCGTGATCCGCCCACCTCAGCCTCCCAAAGTGCTGGGATTACAGGCGTGAGCCACTGCACCCAGACCTAGAAAGGAATACATTTAAATGAGCTCTACACAGCACTGGTGAAGGAGGCGTGGGCCTGGTTGGGGAGGTGAAGGGCCGGTGCTACCCCAGCTGCTGCACCTGTTCCTCTGCTCCATTTACTCTCTGACCAGGCTGCATCCCAGAGAGCTGGTCCAGCCCCATGCCTCCTCCTCATCTTCCTCTAACTGCTCTGTGCAAGGCCACCCATGCAGGCACCAAACACCCACACCTGTCTCCTCTTGCACTGCTGTTTTGCAGCCCACTCCACAGAGGAAGGACTAGGCTGCAGCCAGGGCTGGGACCAGTGCACCAACAGATCACAGACACAGTTCAACACGACCCTCCCCAGGAGAAGAAAGGTGGGTGGTGAGGTTGGGTCACACCTCCTCAGTTGGTTTGTTTTGTACCTGAGTGTATGAGTTCTCCAGAAGAAACCCCAGTAACATAAGGTGTGTGCAGGTTCTGCCTCCCTCACATGGCCTGAGCTGACCACAGCGAGGCCCTGGCAATGGGCAGAAGCCTTGCTGACTCCTTTGGGCTTTGGGCTCCACCTAACCAGCATAAACCCTCGGCACTCAGGTCTGCCTGGTGGCTGAGAAGCTTCCATCTAGACAACTGCACTGGAAAGGATTCTTTAACCATGTAGCTCTAACAGGGCTGTGCACTGTTCAGTACATGCCATGCAGATTTCTGTTTCCTTGCTTTTGTTCATGTGTTTCTCATCTCACTGTCTGTCCTGCCATTAACTACAACCCAAAACCTCAGAGGCACAGAACTTTCCCAGACCATCTGTTCTACCCTGATCTTATCCACTACAAATGTCTTTAGATGGTCCTTGATTTTCTGCTTGATGTGCAGCAGTCACCTAAAAGCTCCCTTAGGCCACAGATTACGTCTTTTACCTTTTTTGTTTTCTATAGCATCTAGCACAAAGCCAGGCACACACACACTAAAAAATAATCTTAAAATTATGAGTGGTTGAAAAGGAACAATAAAAGAAAGCTCCCAGGCTGCATATCTGCCACCCAAGGATCTCAATGGATTCCAGACTTCAGGCTCTGTATCAGGGTGGCACTTCCTGCAAGATGGCGATATCACTTGTACTCTCAAGAGGCAACACTCACATGCTAAGCCAATTTCTGGGATCATAATCTTGCTTAATTGGTAATAGTTGGTAATGCTACCATGGAAGCCAAGAAAAGAAGAGGTACCATATGACAAATCAGAGGTGGGCTGTGTTTATGGTGCAAAGCTCATCTTGTGGGCCGCCCCTCCATGGTCAGGTAATGGTGCAAGTTTCCTCCCTGTTCAGCTACAAGGAGGAAGACTGGTCATTACATGCAGGACTAAGAAGGCAATGCTCCCAGATGAGGTGGTCCTATAAATTACCAAGACACTGGGGCCCCACCCAAACCATCAGGAAGCCACAAACCTGACATTAGTATCTTGTGAGATGAGGCAGCTATAAGCATGGGGAACCCAGAAAGAGTCTCACAGAACACACGCAAAGGAGTCATGAAGACCCAACAGCTCCACTGTTACATCTCAATAGCAAACCTCTCCCCAGAGCAGCTCTACAAGAAAGCAAACTCACAGCATCATATGAATTGGCCATGGCCAGCTGCAGAAACCATTAAAGACCATTGGAGTTTTTCTGCCCGCTCCTCCTGAGAGCCAGAAGACAGGCAGCTCTCAAATCGGCACCTGACACACTTTCCAGTGAGTGGAGACCAGCAAGCTCTGATCTGGAAATGTCTGGGTTGCTAGAATGAACACAGGAAAATATAGAAGCCCTTGCTACCTCCCATCTCAGAAGTCGGACAGCAGTGATAAACCTAAAAACATGAGATGCGATGCTCTCCTCTGACCTAAGGAAATCCTGTGAGGGCTGCGTTCTGAGAGCTTTCTCTAGGAAGAGCACAACTGTGGGAGCTGCATTTCTCACCTTCCTCCACATTCCCCCTCATAAGCTGACAGGCATATGGAAGTAACACTGACTCCTAAGTCATGAGTACAGTTTGCCATGAAGAACCTGGAAGCACGCTCCATTAAATTCAGCAGCCCATGATTGGCTCTGAACCGCCCAGGTGATGAGAAAAACGATTGCCTTGACAGCCGGCAGAAGCAATAGGGATGCCGTTACCATGACCAGAGTGACATGTACAGTTATCTCAAGGGGGAATGGGTTGAGAGCAGAGAAAGAATGGGTTAACTTCAGGTCATGGAACTTAAGGAATTAAGTAAATGACAACTAGTACAGCTTCCATGAGAGGTGTTTCTGAACTCAGATTCCTAAACCTTAAAAAAGGATGCAGGAGTCACTACTTCCCCCAGCTAAGGCCAATTGCCAGGTTTTGCCCAATATTGTTTTCGAGACCACCTACCCTCCTTTCTCTCCTGCTCCTACCACAGCTGCCCATGGCAACAAGAAGCAGACTCCCCCTCCCTCAGGAACTCTCAGTCCTTTGCAAACCTCAGGCCCTTCCTCCCATCTTCCAGGCCCACGGCACAGACTCTAACTCTGCCTTTGGCACCAGCTGAATGGCCGTCCCGTCCCCTCCTCCCACCCCTTCTTTGGACCTGCTCACCCTTCATACCACTTTCAATCTAATGGGCACAAACCCCAGCTGCCTTCAAGGTGAGTTTTCCATACCAAGTAATACAAATATCAAAAACAAAACTTCTGAAAAAGAAACAGTGTTGAGACTTCTTCCAGTTTTCCAAGGAGCCCCTCCAGTCCCAAGATGCCCAGGGGTGGGTATGAGGTGGAGCCCCACGCAGAGTACGGTCATGTGCTTCTTCCAAGCCCCAGGGCTGCGTGGGGAACCGAAGTCTCTGAACAGAGAATCCCAATCTTCCCGTTCCCTCACTTTTCCTCTTCTTTTCATGGTAGCTTAATTTGGTTCTTCAAAGCTGGAGCTTGGCAACCAAATGCCTAGGTAAAAAAGGAAAAAAAATTAAAACAGTTAAACAGAATAGAACCAAAATGGAGTGAAAGAACAGCCAGGCACTGGAAGTGGAGCAACACACCTCAAAAGGAGAATGGAGCCTGGAGAGCTGAATGCTTCCACGAGGGCCACATGTGACTAGGGATGCAGCAGTGGCCTTTGTCAGGGGACCTGAGCAGTCTATGACTTGGATGACAAAACAAGGTCCCGAAATAACTAATAAATATATCCTACCACATTGCATAAATTCTCTCTTTCCCTTTCCCTTACCCCTTCATTTCCTACCCACTTTTTCCCTGAGGCTGAATTGCTCTAGGGACTGAAAAGGGAAGTGAGCCCCTGGAGTAATCCCTTTTGAACCTGGCTAGAAACAGCTCTATATTTCTTTTTTTGTTTTGTTTTGTTTGAGACGGAGTCTCGCTCTGTCACCCAGGCTGGAGTGCAATGGCATGATCTCGGCTCACTGCAATCTCTGCTTCCTGGGTTCAAGCGATTCTCCTGCCTCAGCCTCCCAAGTAGCTGGACAGGCGTGTGCCACCAAGCCTGGCTAATTTTTGTATTTTTAGTAGAGACAGGGTTTCACCATGTTGGCCAGGCTGGTCTCAAACTCCTGACCTCGTGATCTGCCCGCTTCAGCCTCCCAAACTGCTAGGATTACAGACGTGAGCCACCACACCTGGCCAGAGAGCTCTATATTTCTGCAGCTTCTGTCAACTGGACAGGGTTGACACAGAATCACAAAGGCCACTGTTGTGTCCACCTTCCGACTTGAGACAGGCACTGTTCTCGCCATTACTCTGTAGCCTGACTCCAAACCCCCTGGCATGAAATTCCACAGGTAACAGCACACATAGACCAAGCAGGCCATTCAGAACTCCCAAATTAAAATCAGTCTGAACAACCAGAAGTCATAAAGACCAAATTTCATACCCTAAAGACCTTTCCCGACGGGGCACAGTGGCTCATGCCTGTAATCCCAGAACTTTGGGAGGCCAAGGTGGGTGGATCACTTGAGTGCGGTCAGGAGTTCGAGACCCACCTGACGAACATGGAGAAACACCATCTCTACTAAAAACACAAAATTAGCTGGGTGTGGTGGTGCACACCTGTAATCCCAGCTACTTGGGAGGCTGAGGTGTGAGAATTGCTTGAACCCAGGAGATGGAGGTTGCAGTGAGCCAAGATCACACCATCGCGCTCCAGCCTGGGCAACAAGAGCAAAAACCCCATCTCAAAAAAAAAAAAAAAAAGACCTTTCCCTTGGGAAGTGTTACATCCCCCTTTTCCAGGGCTCCTAGGGTCTACAGCAGGAGCAAGTTCAGCATTACGCTTATTCTTTGCTACAGGCATCAATCCTGATGTCACAGCAAAAAGGGATCCTGGGAGTTCAGTTCAAACCTTTGCCAATATATGACTGCCCCCAACACTCAAGACAAATGGCTACCCACTGGCCTGTTCCCGATCATGCCACGTCCCTCTCAGCTGAGGCAGGGCCTTTATACCTCTAGGTCCCCTTGCCCAGAATGTTCTGCTCCAAGGCACTCCCATGGCTGGCTCCTTGATATTCGGGTTTCAGCTGAAATGGCACCTCCTTGCAAGTCTCTCCCTGACTATCTAAACTTGAGGAGTACCCCACTACTAATCACTAAACTTTACCCAGTTTTATTTTCCTCACAACACTGTACAGTCACCTGAAATTAGCCCATTCATTTATATTCGTGTTTGTTGCCTGTCTTTCCTTAGAAGGGAAGCTTAGTGAGAACAGGGCCTTTGCTTTGCTCAGCACTCTATTCTCAATTCACACTGGGTGCCGAACAAACACAAATATACAGCTATCTGCTGAATGGAGGCTCTTGAGGAAAAGCATCCCAGTTTTGGACCTCTCTGCTAAAAACGTTCTTCTAAAGTTGGACTGAAATCTAGTTCCCTGTAACTTACATTCATTTTGGTCCTTGTCCATGTCTCTTTTTGCTGTGATATGGGAAGGCCTTGGAGCAGAGCATTCTGGGCAAGGGGACCTAGAGGTATAAAGGCCCTGCCTCAGCTGGAAGGGGTGTGGCATGATCAGGAACAGGCCGGTGGGGAGCCACTTGTCTTGAGTGTTGGGAGCAGTCATGCACTGGCAAAGGTTTGAACTGAACCCTCAGGATCTCTTTTTGCTGTGACATCAGGATTGTTGCCTGTGGCAAAGAATAGGGGTAATGCTGAACTTCCTCCCCACTGGAACCACAGAGAGGAAGTTAATCACTCTCTTTCTCAGGAAAATCCATCAAATGCATCTTTCAGCTATCCCTCCCTAAAACCTCCATGCTCCCGGTTAATCACATTTCTTTCTAGGCCATTTATTCCTATATGATGAAGTTTGAGCTCTCCAATGCTACAAGGCCCTTCTCTGAATGTGCTCCCTGTTTATGTGGGTTCTTCTACAGCACTGCACCCACAGACGTGGTCCTCTAACTGAATGGCCTAATTACTCTTCAAGGGTAGTCAGGTAGGTGGACCTCCCTAGTGCTCTCTCTACCTCTCAGCCTAATCTCAAGTGCAAAGCCATCATGCAGAGAAATCCACCTAGACACCAGACATTAGATGTTTAGTCACTTCCAAAGGCATAGAATTTGCATATAATTGAAGAAATGATGAGACTGTACATCTACTCCAGGATTCACACCAGAAGAAAGCAGTCATTGCACACTGGCAGTCAATCTTGCTTTTCACCACCACCACCAAAGTCACGGCTCCCTGGCAATTGTGTTCCCTACTCAGGAACTTGGCCCCACAATGTTCACTTTAGTGCAATTTAAAAGACTAATTGGAATTCATCTGCACAAACCAGTATTGCAAGATATTTTATGGGAAAATAAATGAGTAGAACTGTGTAATGATAGGAGAAGAGCCTCGCAGATAAATGAATTCCTTAGTTAATTCACTTATTCTCTTCAACAATTTACTTTGTAATGGCCCAAATGGAACTCTAAATAGAAGAGTGGGCTGTTTTTCTTCATCCCCATATTCCAAGCTGTGGGACATGGTGGAGTCTCACTCAAGTGCATGCCTGTTGCAATTAAAGGCATGTTTGTGTTCTCTTTGATGAAGTTTCCTTTCCCTTTAGCTTCCTGCTTTATATGCCAATTGTGTGGTATCAGGGAGATCAGCCCAAGTCCTTATGAGAGGAGGCTGCACTCTTCTTTTTATTTTTTTCAATTACCCTCTCCTTGCCAGAGGCTGCACTCTTAGCTACACTTGGGTGTCCCCCTCCTTGCTCACATTCAGTGATTAGCTTGCACATTTCCTGGCAATCTGCTTTCATGTCTGTCTGCTTTCCTCCCAAATGGGGTGTGTGCCCCTTGGGGACTCCACAGTCAGATCTTGCCATTCTATGGGCAAATGCTTGGATCGGGGCTATCCATGTTGGGAGATGCAGGGAGGGCGCCCAAGGCTCAATGCATGATGATGACTGCCCAGTAAGAAATGTGGCTGGGCAGTGAGGCGGAGAGCTCATACCCTTGGTGGCGACCAGCAGGGAGCCCCTTGCTACGTGGAAGGTTCCACCTCTTGCTTCTGTTTGGAAATGAGCTGCGCTTCCTTTAGAGACAGGTATACCTCTTCCTGAGGATCATAGTAGTAGAACTTTCGGATATAAGAGATCAGAGGTCTGTGAAAAACAAATGAGGGATATACACAAAAGGTTTTTATGCAAAATATAAAAGAAGTAACTCCTTTGTTCAACTCTTCTTCATTCCCTACATGGTAGAGACCTAACACAATTCCCATTTTCTCAGTTATTATAGTTCTGTCTTCCTTACCCTTACCACTTCTACTCTATTCTGCAGAAGGGAGGCTGACACACACACCTTCCTCCCTCTGGCTGCAATATGACAGTTCTAAAGTTAGGTGCTAAGACACAAGAAATGTGAAAGAATGATGTCTGCAAATATTTTATGCCAGACTCTGCCTGTGAAGGTAGCTTGCAGGCCTCACTGACATTTGTTACCTCCCCACAACCCCCTTACTCATTCCTGTCCCAACCCTAAGAACCCCATTGTACTTAGGCAGTGGGAGATCTGGGATGTGATCTATCCTGACGAGCTGTCGTATCCGGAATCTGCAAAGGTGCTGGAGGGATTTGACATTGCTGAATCGGGACACTGGATAGAGCAGCTGGACAGGAGTTGGTGGCAGTCCTTCAAGAAAGAAAACAAAGAAAAATATTCAGAGAAACAATGGAGCTAACTACCATTTCTTGTATGAAGAGAACCTAGGGAGGGGAAATGGGACTTCTTTATGGTTCATATATGTATTCTGTGCAAAAGCCCCTCCACAAAGGGCTGTTGATTTCCATTTCCAGAAGAACCACCACCACCTTCACACTTAAGGAAGTCTATTCTCTGCCAAAGGCCTCCCTAGCTTCACTTTTGTGTGTGTGAGTGGTTTTATTGGTTTTTTTTTTTTTTTTTTTTTTTTTT